GTCACGTTGTGACCATCTTATATATACCACACTAGCCCCCAATCTAGTAATTTCCCGACAATTCACGAAGGTTCGAGAAAGAAGTGGCATGATACTGGTCACGTGACCTCGCTGACGCAACATAATGAAAGCTAAATTATATACATTACAATACTAGAAGTTACCCTTAAATTATATTATTAAATGTATAATAATTTTTTAGAAAGATGGTGTGGCAGCAAAAAAGCTGAATGTGTATACTTTTTGTAATGTACAGATGTCTATACGGACAAACAGAGGCATCGCTAGGCATGGCGTAAGGGGCCCGTGCCCCGATTCTGTTTGACAGTTTCCCGAATCCGCAGTTGTAAAAATTTAAAATAGAAAACCACGATCAATATCATATAGAAACGCCTAATATTCCCGTGCCTATTGGCCCGAGCCCCGAATCTTTTAAGCACCAAGCGACGCCTATGCGGCCAAACAAACCCACACACATTTTTATCTTTTAACTAATCTGTTAAATACTTACCTATATTATGACTGACCGAGTTTGATCCCCTGTTGGCCCATCTGATAAACAACAAACCAAGAAAAAAGATATGTTAAAGGGCAACATCTCAGTTTAGTCAAAATTTTAATACTTTTCTAGTTGTTCTGCCTTTTGCTGCTGTTTTGAAATAAATATGGTGATATTAAAACTAAACCAAAAGATATATAAATATTTTTTGTTTCCTCTGAACTTTTAATTTTTTGCAAAAAATCATGTAACTTAATTAGAAAAAAAAATTAATACTAAAATTAGTTTAAGGGCAAGAATTTCTTATTAATTTCTTTGTTTTAGCATAAAGTTACACAGTTGACCTTTTGCGCTCTGTCCATAGCGAGGAGTCTGACCCTGAAGTTTATCGTTGTAAATCCATAAACTTACCGCTGACCCACCAGGGTACAATGGAAGTGATGTGTGTGTGTGTGTATGTGTGTGTTGTTGTTTTGTTTTTTTTATAGCAAAGCCATATCGGGCTATCTATTGTGCCCACCGAGGGTAATCGAACTCCTGATATTAGCATTGTAAATCTGTAGGCTTACCGCTGTCCCTCCGACGGACAAAAAGTGACGAGAATACAATGTTTGTGGATTATGAAGATCTACATGTTGGGTCCGCCGAACAGTTTCTTACATTAATAACTTCTTGCCACATTAAACTTAGCTTTCTCAAACCTAACCAGAAGATACCGCATCATTTGAAACAAGCCTGTATATCCTTTGTAATATTTTGAAAAGTATTAAAAAACTAAAGTACATGAAAATTTACCGAAACTAAATTAAATTAAAATAGGTCGTCCTATTTTATTAATAAATTGTAGAAAACATTTTAAAACCGAACTTACGACATTTTGAAGGTTGCAATCTAATAACGTAAATAAATAATACAGGATGAAGGAATTTTTAGCCGCGGCATAGCGGCTCATAGAATGGCTCTCTTAGCTGATAGCTCATTGATCGACTTGAGAACTAATTAAATTTTTGGACTCAGGAGGCCAAATCCTTTCGATTGATGTATTTCACCTCGCCTAAGATCTTACAGATTAATTTACTTTAATTCTGCCTAAAAGAATCTTAATTTGAGAGTAGGCTGGTAGAGATCCTGATGAGTAATAGACTTGAATAGGGTATACACGCGCCCCACGCTTGGTATTGCTGGTGCACAAAAATATAGCTAAAAACATATCTCATAGATATTCGCCCCCCAGTGGCACAGCGGTATGTCTGCAGACTTACAACGCTAGAAACCGGGTTTCGATACCCATGGTGGGCAGAGCACAGATAGCCCATTGTGTAGCTTTGTGCTTAACTACAAACAAACAAACAAACAAACAAAATACTCTAATCCTGCCTAAAAGAATTTCAAGTGTCGCGGCTATTGAGGATTCCCTCTTGTTCTTAATGTCATAATATAAAATTTTGGTTTAAATACGAACCTCTGCATTTCTTTACTACAGTCAAATTAGATTGCTGTTTTAAAGTGCAAAGCTACACAACAAGAGCTGCATCCATCACAGGGAATCAAACCCCGGATTTTAGCGTTATAAGACCTTAAGCTTACAAATGAGTCGGCGGGGACTATTTCATTAGAGATTAGTGCAATTTCTAAAGGAAATAATCGAAACCACTATTTTGATCTCTATACATATCGTTCTTTTTATCATGACCCAGATGTCCCAATTAATGAATTTCTAACAGCCATATTGGAAAATTTGATTGCATATGGAGTATTATCATAAAGAAAAACAAGTCATACTCATGAAAGTTTTGTGCTTTGTCTGATGTCTTTAATACACTAGTTATGTACACTTTAAGCACATTTGGTATTACATAATAGATTGATCAGTCAATGCTATAATTTCGGAACAGTGAAGCAGTTTATACTTAATTATCTAGTATACTGTATTTAAGCTACTGAAAAATTGTTCAAAATATTTTATTTTTTCGAAATTTTGAAAGTATTAAGCAATTTTAACAAATAGAAAATAAAGAATAGGTACTTATGGAAGTTAATAAATATATCTTTAATTCAAAAATCATTTTGGAGAAGAAACAACTGCTCCGTATTTACTTTCACAAATTGAAACACAAATTAATGAAAAGATATACATGACGTTTTTGATAATACTGTTTGTACAATTATTTTTGCGAGATGGCGCAATGGAAAGTTGTAGTCGTACAATAAAGTCAGGGGTGGTTTTAATGTTCTGCGTCTTATGTATTTTTCGGATTTAGTTTTGTTATATAATAATAAGGCAGGGCACATTATCAGGTGCAATTCTTCCACAAGTGTTTGTTTTTTTGTTAGTATAATTGATATAATTCATATTTTGAAACATAGTTAAAAGTAGAAGATAGTGAAATACTCAAATAGTGTATACTTTAAAGTTTCAAAGTTTGAATTTTAATGTACAGCTTGTACTACTAGTACTAGTATAATTGGTAGTATATATAATTTTATTCTGATACATTCTTAATGTGAGAAGATAAAGCGAAATAATAATATAGGCTGATATTGATAATAATTTTTGTAATATGAATTTGTTATACATTTTCACATCTATACAATGTAGTAATAATAATTAATATATGTGATAACTGGGTTGCTGTTATATCAATTGATATTATTATTACTGTTAGTACAGTGTTGAATCCAGACCTCTCCACTCTCCCTTTCTGTATACCCCCCTAAATTCAACATTATTAGTATTATCACTACTATTACTATCACTAGGCTAACTAGCTAGTGAATTCACCCTTTACGTTTACCTCAGTTGATAACAGTACTGACCTGGTGTGTGAGTGGTTCAGTTCCACTCATGAGTGATACCACAGAAAAACTGACACCTAACATAAAACTCAAACCCATGATTCTGAAGTTTGGTTTCATATCCAACCAACTGACCTACTTGTGTGATGTGTGAAGTGTTCCATTTTCAGTTTGACTAAGAAGTGTGACCACATATCTTACTGGGTACCTGACAGTGTAACAAGACTGAAATAAAATTAACTTTTGGACAGTTTTTAAGACTGGTGGAAGAACTGTGGGGGATGGGAGGGTTGTAATTTGTATAATACATGGCTGTGGCAAGTTACACATAAAGAAATAATGAAAAATGAAATATATCAATTCAGTTACCCAAAATGAAACAAGCATAAAAGTCTTTCCCAGTGTTTCTTACATTTACATCAGTCAGCTATGTTGTGACTATGATGAAATCTGAAGCATGGGATTATAAACTAGTGTCTCATACTTTGTGTAGTAAGTCCATTAAGTATTTTCTTCCCAATGTAACATAACAATGTTGCTTGTAAACCTTTCTAATTTTAATACACGAAACTTATTTTTGAGTGTTCTATAAAGATTGTTGTTGTTTTTTACTGAAATTACACTGCCAATAAGCTAATGATATCTAATCTGTATCATAGAGATGAACAAGAGTAACCTTTAGTGTTTAGAATAACATTTCAAAAAACAAATCTCCATTAAAAATAAAATTAATTGTTGTTGTAAAATGATCAATTAAAAAGGATTACAAGTGAGTTTTATATTACATTTCAATGGGAAGAAAGAAATAACGGGTCCCCCCCATAACATGTTTCACAGTTGTTTATAATCCCAAGGTTTTCGTACTTCGTGTTTCATGATGTGTTTTTTTAGGTGATTGAAGTAAGAGAAACTGACACTGTATGTATTTTGTACATCAAAAATAAACATTAGTGATAATTTATAAGTGAGTATGATGTCTCAGTATAATAATAATTGGTGATATAAACCTTTTCTAGTTAAGACTGTAACATGTATATTAAAATGTGGAATATCAATATTATGTATTTGTCAACACTCTGAAAGAGCATTTCATATAATCTCTGACATTATATTAAATATTTTTCAATAAGTGTGTTTTGTCAAATGTAGATAGAAGACTAATATATTAATATATATATATATATATAAAGAACAGTAAATATTTTAATGACAAGGGTAAGGTGTGGAGATCATCAATCTGTTTTTAACCTTTAATGCTGATTAAAATTACTGGAAATTTTATTGTCATTGTTTGCGTCATTTTTTATTAAGGTACCTCTTGCACTTTCCATTTTTCATAAGATTTCTCTGTGAATTAGCCAGAAAATATTTGTACTGGCTAAATTAGTTTATAACTTACTTTGTGATATCACTAATTTAGCAGTTTTTTTGGTCATCCAAACAGAAGGATTAGAGTTTTATAACCTTTTCAAAACAAAATAACTTATTTAACTATGATCCAAAGTTTGAAATCAAACTGTTGTGCTTGTGTACCCAATAAATAGAGTTGATAAGTATTGAATAAAGGTTAACAAACTAGTGTTAGTGCAAATGATTGGTCAGAGGAACATCTACACAGTTCCCTTTTTTGTAATAATCAAGGGAATTGTTATAAGTTAAGAACTTAGGCATGCATTTTTTTTGGAATGAGTGATTAGAAGCTGATTTAAAAACTGTTCTATTAATGTAACAAGCTACATTTTTACTTGTTGATTATTTTCAAGGTATTTTTCTGTGAGCCAAAAGGTATTTCTTATTTTGCTACTTAAAAGTAATCATGGCCAAAACATTTTCTGATCGGACCCACCAGTCTTTTTCATATCAGAATGCAGGAAATGCTGAAGGTATGTGATAAAAACTTCCTGAAAAGTTGTCATCTGAAAGCAAATATTTTAACTGTTTAAAAATATTTGTAGTTAACTAGTGAGAAAGATATAATTGGATTAGAATTTTCTAAACTTTCAGCTGAATATCAGATTCAAGTTTGTTTATCATTTGCTCTGAAGATCTTAAAAAATCATATAGGCCATTTTTTAAATTTGGTTTTATTGAAATAATATTTTGACGTTAAAAACTTGGATGTTTTGATGAATATTTTATATTAAATTCTGCTAGTATTTTCTCATTATTTGCTGTATGAACTGGATTGGTTGAAATAAATTCCTAAATTAAATATCTTCGCACTGGTCAAACATATTAAATTATGTATAATTTAAAAACTGCTTATTGAAAATTCTTGTTAAATTATATGAACCAGTAGATTTAAAATGTATACATTTGATATTATGATAGAAGTATTTGAAGTTATATTCAAGTATATCTATGTTCATCTGTTTTCTAGGTGGTCCAGATGAGCTCAACAGACTCTCCCTGGTTATTAGTACCAATATTCAGAAGATTACTCAAAATAGTATGTTGCTGAAATAACACATTCACTTGTATGAGTTTGGATCTAGTTTATAGCAATCCATAAATATCTTGAGCAAAATTAAGATTACAACTTTAACTCTTTCAGCGCAGGCTCGATCCCTGGGACCGACCTCGTAACCATTTTGTGCTTGTTATAGTTTTCATGCTATAACCTTTAAATTAGTAATTGTATGTTCACAAAATTTGGTTGATTATCAGTAAACAGTACAATGCTTTCATACGCAAAATATAAATTTTTTTTATTAAGTCTTAAGG